TGCATTAACAAACTCTCATCATAGTATTACGTTTAAAACAGAAGATATAATTTACATTAATAAGTTATTTACCCCTTTATTATCTCTTGAATCACCAAATATGACTAATAATAGAATATTTAATGAAGATAATTTTCAACCAATAATAACTACTCATTTAATAAAAAGAAATCCAATTATAGAACCTCCAATTTTAACCATATTAGGCAGATCTTTCATCTCGGAAAATCAACCTACAACATCTTCTGAAAATAAAGATGAAAAATTAGAAGATATTATAGAAATAATTAGATCGTTAAGTTTACGAATATGACATAATCATCTAGTAATCCTTTAAAATATTTTAAAACACGTGAAGGTCTATATCAAAATTCTAAACCATGTATACCAGATAAAGAAATGATTATAGAAATACCAAAAATTTACCACAAGGAACATTATATAGTATTGGTCTTAGTTCTGAAAAAGATAAACCCGTAGGAGATAAATTAAATATAATTAGTCAAAAACTAAACAATATTATAGAAACATAAAGTTACTTTTACTTAAACAAATACCTGAATTATTACAAAATTTAACTCAAAAGAAAATATTATTACTCGAAAAAATATTTAAAAATAAAAACAATAAAAAAGAACCACTTACTATTAAACCACCATTCACATGGTAAAAATAAATCATTATGAGGGAAACCTGGTATCTAACCCATCAAAAATAAAAGATATTAGTCTTGCATACACTGACGATATACTTGTTTTTACAAAAATCGATGATTTTGTAATTGTAGAGACAGATGCATCACAAGACACTTGAACATGATGCCTAAAAGCAATTATACATGGAAAAGTGTTATTAGGACTAGATAATGAGGGAAACCTCGTATCTAACCCATCAAAAACATACAATGATCTAAACCATTTAACGTTTCATCCTTGTATCGTTGATATATTGTTGGTGCTTGCTTTAATCTGAATGGAAGGACATTCCATTCATAATGTTTCTGAGGAGGACATGAAAAAGCAGATAGTGGTTTCGTATTTTCATGTAAGTGTATTTGCCAATATCCGGATTTTGCATCAAATGTATTAAAATATGTATTTCCTTTTAATTTTTCTAAAATATATTTTTTTCGTTGTAATTTATAGGAGTCTCCAATAGTAGCATCATTCATTTTTTTTTGTAATTAATAACCATTCTTCGTTTACCTCGTTTTATTTCATTATTATTTTCTATATAGAATGCGGGTGCAGAATGAGGACTTGTACTAGGTCGAACGATTCCTTTTTCTAGTAGTTGGGTGCATTCCTCTTGAAATTCAGAGATATCCTTTATACTATATGTAATTTTATTTGGAACATTAATTTCATCGTTAAGGTTTTTTTAATATTATTATTATTTATTGATTATTTCTATTTTTTAAATGATCTAACGGATTTTCACTACATACTTCTTCAAGTTGTTTTTCAGCAATTTCTTTGGCAAATGCTAATAATATACGTAATTGAAAACCAACTTCTTGTTTGATTATTTTAATAAGATCAAAATGCTTGATAATTGCAGTTTTTATAATACCTTTTGTAGGGTGACTGAGACTTATATGATCATTTGTTTGTATAAATGGTTGATATAATTTAAAGAAATTATTTTCTATTACTAAATTTATTCCCGAATCATGTATAGTTGAGATTTTAAATGGTGCTTTTTTAATTATTATGTCTATGTTTCTTTCTACGAACCAAATTTTGTGAATTGATTTATCAGCAATTGTGATTTTTAATGGTTTTTCTATTTTTTTCCCAATTTTTAATATACTTTTTCTTCTAAAACATAAAATAGCTCCAATATCTATATATGAAATTAGTTCTTTATGTTGTATTTTAGTTGTAATAAATGTACTGTTGGGGTTAATATTCGTTTTTCTTTTACTCATTTGTTAGGATTAGAGTTTTATCTTTTGAACAATTAATTTGTACTTTTGAATTTATTTTAATAAATTAATAAAGTATCTGAAAGAAAGTTAATTGAAGTGTTAAGACTTTTTATTACTATTCTAAAATGATTAATTTCAGTTCTTAATCGTCCAATTTTAATTAGTTGGTATGCAGTATGATTTTTATTTTTAGAAAATAAATCTTGTACTTTGGATTCTTTCCTTTTAAATATTTTGTTGATTTTTCTAAATCTTTCCATAACTTTTTTAAGTAAATTGACTTTATATTTGTTATCGAAATTACAGTATATTTGCGTTTTATTTCTCATAATTATTTATTTTACCATGTGAAGGGTGGTTTAATAGTAAGTGGTTCTTTTTTAATAGCTTTTATTTTTAAATATTTTTTCGAGTAATATTTTCTGTTGAGTTAAATTTTGTAATAATTCAGGTATTTGTTTAAGTAAAAGTAAACTTTATGTTTTTATAATATTTTTTAGTTTTTGACTAATTATATTTAATTTATCTCCTACGGATTTATCTTTTTCAGAACTAAGACCAATATTATATAATGTTCTTTGTGGTAAATTTTGTGGTATTTCTATAATCATTTCTTTATCTGGTATACATGGTTTAGAATTTTGATATGGACCTTCACGTGTTTTAAAATATTTTAAAGGATTACTAGATGATTCTGTCATATTCGTAAACTGAATGATCTAATTATTTCTGTAATATCTTCTAATTTTCATCTTTATTTTTAGAAGATGTTGTAGGTTGATTTTCCGATATGAAAGATCTGCCTATTATGGTTGAAATTGGAGGTTCTATAATTGGATTTCTTTTTATTAAAGGAGTAGTTATTATTGGTTGAAAATTAGCTTCATTAAATATTCTATTATTAGTCATATTTGGTGATTCAAGAGATAATAAAGAGGTAAATAATTTATCAATGTAAATTCTATCAATGTAATACTATGATGAGAGTTTGTTAATGCATAATTTATTTGATATGTAATAGTAACCGGATGATTACCTTTTAACATAAAATTTTGCCTTTACAATTTATATCGTACGGTAATACTACTACTTAAATTTTTATCTTTAAAACTTAATCCTAGTTGAGTATTAATATTAAACTTTATTTTTCCTTCAATTAAATTAACTTTTCCTTTTGCAATAATACTTTCTTAATCATTAATTATACGATCATCTCTAATTTCTAATTAAAATGTAGCATCTAAATCACTAAAAGTACTTTTTAAAATTACTTAAATTGTTTATATATGAATATAAGCAAGTTTTATCCTGTCAATTTCTTTAATATTAGATAATCGATTTCTTATTTGTTGTTTATTTATTATGGATATAATAATATTTCATTGAGTTGATTTTATAGGTATATGTTCTTCTCCTATCATTTTTCCATAATATATAATATTTTTTCTAAAAAAAAAGTTTTTTAACGTGTGATATTTAAAATTATGTTTTTCTGCTAATGTAAAATTTGTTTTTCGTATATCATCTTTATTAATATTATTTTTATTAATGAGAGCATCGAAAGTATATCCAGATTCATTTTTTTCGTTATTAATAATTATTGGTAAATTTTCTATTTCTTGAGACATATTTAACAAATTAGTTTTGTTATCTTATCTTCAATACTTTGTATTTGTTCTTGACGTTGATTTATACTATTATCTACTATATGTATGCTTCAATATTAGATATGCAATTAATTATCGATGTGTTAGAATCTATTTTTAAATTTAAAAGAAATTTAATTTTTAGATTGTTTTATTGTTTTACGAAAAAAAAATTAGTTCTTTTTTATTAATATCAAGACTTGAAAAACTCATGATTTTAATTTTAAGAAAATGGTAATTTAGTTCTAGTTCTATTTTCTATCAAAGTTACGATTAGATTTAGATAGGATGTTGATAGTGGGGTTTATCATTAATATTATATTTTATGACGATGGTGATGATATATGACAAATAGTAACGATGAACATTCATAATAAGAACGATGCCTTGCTCTGAAACCAAAAAAATTTCTAAAGGATTCAAACGTTAATATTAAGCTTTATGATAAAAGCCATAATGAAAATTCATAGTTTTAAATGCTTTGATACCAAAAAAATTTCTAAAGGATTCATACGTTAATATTAAACTTTATGATGAACGCGTTAATGAAAATTCATAGTTTTAAATGCTCAGATACCAAAATTTATAAAGAAAGATAAAAATAATAAAATTAAAATTAGGATGGTTATATTTGAATGGTGCGTTGGAATGATCTTGATGATAGACGATTTCGACGATAATTTTGGATAGAAAACTAGGATGGTTATATTTGAATGGTGCGTTGGAATGATCTTGATGATAGACGATTTCGACGATAATTTTGGATAGAAAACTCTAATATTCAGAAATATAAAAATATTTAAACAGAGATCAACTTTGAGAGTTAACTCAAGTCTTAAACAAACAACTCTTTCTTTATATCGTATGGACAAAGCCCTATTTATAAGCTCTTAAAGAGCCGGTTACATTATTACAATCACATGATTGCAAACTATAATTTACATTTTAGATCCTTAAACTATTAGGGGTATTACAAATTTTATGTCACATACTAACTTTATATCACATCGTTACATTGTTACGAATATAATTCGTAACCGATACTACTACCAATACTTTTAAATAATTACAACAAATAATTATAATTCCTTCCCCACCGAAAGATACATGTTTTCAATAATGTTTTCGTTCGTCATGATTTATGTCAATCCTCTCACCACCGAAAGGACATATATTTGCTTCTAAAAAATGCAAACGATATTTTTACAATTTTGTTTATAAACAAATAAAATGGAACGAAATACTTTGTTGTTTGCAAACGATATAGGTGCTGGTTTGAAGAATGTTAAAAGGGACTATAAATTGTTGTGTTTTTTTATTGGCAGAAAATGAAATAGAAAAAGACCCAACAAACCTACCACTACTGTTCCAGGACAAACCGACAAACTACTTGAAGATTAAGTTGACATCTCAAAGTGCATCACCTAAACAGTAGCAACAACGGCATAACAAAGAGAAGGTATGTCCGATTTCCATGCAGCCATCTCGACTGCTTTGCCATCACAATCCTCATCAGATGGCCGGAAAATGTAAAACACCACCATACATAACACAAGAAGGCTTATTTCCTGTACCCCATGATTCGATGGTATCAAAAATGCAACCATCAAAAACCTCGTAAAGAACACGTATGCAAAAACCGCAAACCCAAATAGACACAGCCTTACCCTATTCATAACATCATTGCCATCAGTCTCATGATTATCCTTATTAAACCAGATAACCGAAAACCATATTGGGACGAAAATAATAAAGCAACAGATGAAATCTATACTTAGAGAATCAACGACGTCCTCTTCATTATTATAAGGTCCGGCTTTCCATTCAAATATAGCATACACATTAGCCCAAACCTGAAGTAGGATCACAATCATCAAAACCAACTTTTCCTTTACTTCCAAAAATGGCTTCCAGAAACAGTATCCATTACCAATCAGCACGATTAAGGTGAACAAAAGCACAGTCCTGACAAACTTACACATGTGATATAAGACATCCGATCCATGAGGAGTACCTGTAAACTTCACATAATATAGATCCACTGCCGCAGAGATTAAAACAACCAAATTCATAACAAGCAACACACCCATTAGTAAATGCACCCTGTGAAAAGATCTCCGGTTCTTGAAGCATACTAAAATCCAAAACCCTAGAAAACACACATAAATGAAGGCGGAAAAGATGTAAAGAAACGGAAGCTGCCTTAGCTCTCCGGATAAATAGTTTTGGTAGTCCCGTCATTGGTGTTGTAGAGCGCTACGCGACCATCCATGGTTACGACGGATTCATAGTTGCAGTTGACAAAGAAGAGTGAGTTCATACCAGGATTTGTAATAGTGTACGTTTTGTTGAAGGAAGTCTGAGGATCATGGGAAAGATCTTGGAAAGTAAAGAGGAGTGTGTTTAGTTTGAAATCCAATGGGCAAATAGTGTTTTGTTGGAATTCGAAGCGGTTTCTCACTTTAGGAGATTGAAGGATGAAACCAAAACGTGAAGTATCAGGTCGTGATGAGGTGGAGGTTGCAGTCACGGAGGAGATCACGAAGGAAATGTAACCGTCATTTGAGAACTTGAACTCCGAGATGAGGATCTTATGTCGGTTATTGGATCGAAGATTCAGAGATATGATTTCGGCTGTAGATGGTGCAACGAAGAGGAAGAAGTGGAGGAGAACTACAGTGAGAATTTTTGCTAAAATCGTCATTTTGGATTCACCGGTGGTGGCTGAGAGCGGAGGAAAGGTTAGAGTGCAGGATGAGAAAGTAAGTGCCGCAACCCATTATTACGGTGAAAACAAAATAAGAAAAACAGTGATAGTCGGATAAGGATCATGGAAGTTTGAATTTTGAAAACGATAATGGATATTGGATAGAGACGATAAGATAATCGATATTAATCGATATTGGATAGAGACGATTCCCATAATCTCGATTTCCCTGGGATTATGGAATATTGTTCACAAGCAATAAGACTGGGGAGGACTAGTAGTTAAGATTATTTATAAGGAAGGACCAGTAGTGTAAGTATTAGACACACTTAGCTATTTAATAATAGGGATAATGACTTAAAAAGATAATGTATTTTTCGATTTGTACACATTTGATCACTAAGTTTTTTTTTCGTCCATATTTTTCCCCTTCAACTTGTTAAATTGTACACATTCGGTCCTTATTATCGGTTACTCCAAGTTAGCCGGGAAAAATGACTTAAAAAGGTAATATATTTTTTCATTTGGTACACATTTAGTCCTTAATATTTTTGTACATATTTAGTCCTTAACATTTTTTTTGTTTCAAAATAATTTTTTTTTGTACTCATTCAGTACTTATAAATGATTATTTTATGTTTTTCTCACGACATCTTACATGGGACAATCATTGATAAGGTGTTTAAGGTTGTTCATACTTATGTCAAATGCGATCTCGACTGCTTGGTTGCATAGGTCTTGTGGTTTGGCTTAGGTCTTGTATTCTGAACGTCGTAACTTCTTCATACGATATCAGATTTTAATGATCTTTATATCCACGTGTTCATTTTTTTCATTAAGAATACTCCTGTTAAAATGTAACATATTTTACTTACGATTTTATATAAAAAAACATCCATACATGCATTCATAAAAAATGTATGGACAGAGGCGGACACAGGAATATGAAAAATAGGTATAAATGAAAAAACTCAAAAAAAATTTCCACTGCGGACAGAAAAAATAAGTGTTTCCGGTTTAACACCGGGACCAGTCTAAATCCGCCCCTACGTATGGATACAAAAATCGTAAGTTAAAATATATTATTTTTTAATGGGAGTAATTTAAATGAAAGTTGTAGTAGACTAAAATACGAACACATGAATATAAAGATCGTTCACATGAATATAAAGATTGTTAAAATTCGAGATCGTATGAAGAAACTATGACGTTCAGAACACATGACTTAAGCAACCAAGTAGTTGAGATCGCGATGGACATAAACATCAAAATGCCCAAACACCTCATTAATGAATGTCTCACGTAAGATTTCGTGAGAAAAACATAAAGAAATCATTCATAAGTACTGAATGAGTACAAAAACAAAAATAACTTATTTTGCAAAAAAAAAAAATTAAGGACTAATTGTGTACAAAAATATTAAGGACTAAATGTGTACAAAGTGAAAAATATATTACACTATTAAGTCATTTTTACCGGCTAACCTAGAGTAGCCGGTCATAAGGACTGAATGTGTACAGTTTAACAAGTTGAAGGGTAAATGTGGACGAAAAAAAAATCAGCGACCAAATGTGTAAAAATCGAAAAATACATTACCCTTTTAAGTCATTATCCCTTAATAATATTTATTTATGTATAACCATGTATCTCTTTAAATTCTTTGAGGTTGTAAAGTGTAAATTTTAATTCAATAAATGTTATGCCTCTCCAACTACACTAATTGGGTGCGACGAGTATCATTCTTGATATCAAGGACACGTTAATCCCACCATTTTCTCTTCCCCTCACACAATGTTATCTCTTTCTTTTCCTTCTTCTTTGCTTTATGCAACTCTTCCCTTGCCATGTTTTTGTTGGATTAGGTGTCTAAGCTCATAACTATAATTGGTATGTACTTGAATTGATAGCAGCACAGTCCTTTTGGGTTGCCCTCAACCTAGCAACTGGACAAAGAAATTATGAAAGGAGAGATATTAATTTATAAGATTAATAAATTAATATATAAATGATTTATTAATATGTTAATAGATTAATATATTAATTAGAAATCGTTATGTTTAATTAATAGTTAGCCAACAATTAATCAGAATTAATTTTGGGGTTAAAAGAATTAATTATAAAGTGCAGGGACTAGTTTGCAGTTACCTAATAGTTTAGTGGAAGGCTCTAGAACCTCCTTGGAAGGAGGTGGACGAAATCCATAGGGAAAACCCTAGAGATTTCGTCCAAGGGGTCCAGATAAGGCCCTTGGGTTTTGCTTAGGCCCTAAGCAAAGGATAATTAGGGTTTTCCCTAAACCCTAGATCCCTCAGCTATTTAAGGAGCCTCCTGGCTCACATTTTAGGTCACTTGTTCTTTGGAAGAAACCCTGGCCGAAATTGCATACTCCCTCCCCTCTCTCCTCTTCTACTTTCCTTCTTGCTAGTTCTTGGGTGTGATTCCATTAGAGGCATTACACTTGTGGTGCTAAGCTTCCAAGAAGATCAAGATCAAGATCAAGGGAATTATCAATTGTTTGCTATAACAATTAAAAGGTATGTAACTCCTAAACCCTAGTTTACTATTTTCGAAAATAGCCTCCTCCTCTAGGGTTCTTGTTTTGCAATTCAAAGTTGTATGTTCAATAGTTAAAACATAGATCTAAAAGTAGGTTGCATGTGAACTTAGGAATTGTTTTCTAGTTTATTTGTTTTACCTAAAACTCATCAGTGGTATCAGAGCCATTGTTTGTTTTAAATTGAATTGCTATAATTGTTGAATTGCAAATTAGGGTTTATAGCTATTAAACCCTAAAGGCCAAATTTTCGCAATTAGGGTTTTGGATTGAAGGGTTTTCAAAACCCTAGCCTCCAAAGAACCCTAATCGAAATTAGGGTTAGGGTTTTGAAAACCCTAGCCCCCTCCCTTGTAAATTTCGAAATATGCTAGAAGTTTTTAGGGTTTCTTGTTTTGGATAATTGTTACTTGATTAGATTAATTGGATAATTATCCTTACCCTAATTTTCGAAATTTAGAGGGATAAGGATTAAGATTAAATTAATTGATTAATTTAATTAGATAATCCTTACAAGATTTAATAATTTGATTAATAGTTAATTAAGAGATAAATATTAAATCTAGTTATTTGGTTTATTCAAATTTAATTTAATAGTTTAAATTTCGAAATTTATATAAACCTTGAAGTTTTAAAAAGTTTTAAAACACACCTTATATATGTATTATGATTAAATGTTTAATAGTATATATGTATAAGAATATGGTCAGTCAAATCGCTAGTATGCCTCATTCACGAAGCTAGTCTATAAAGAGGGTATAAGGAAACTGCCTATAAAATGGTAGTTGAATGGGTGTCCACTCTCACCCACCGCTTCCTTGATTAGTGGAGGGTCGTTAGCAGAACGGATTTGATAGGACAACTACTTCTCATTAAAAGTATAATGCTATTAAAGAAAGTACTAGAACATTATTTTTCAAAATCCCAACTCTAGTTACTTTAAGAAAAAATGTGAAAAGTATGCTAATCCATGAAATTGCACATTATGCTTTATTGGTCGTTAGTGGAGCGTGTGTGGTTAACCAGCACACTAAAAGGCACTAATAAAGAGTAGTAATGGGTATCTCATAATTGTCATTTTGATGGAGCGTGTGTGGTTTACCAGCACATCAATAGTTAATGATAAAGACAATGAGGTTACCAAGCACATTTGCATGGTTATTCACATCTTTTTTGTGATCCTCGGCATCCCAGTCACAAATAGAATAGCATAATCTGAGATTAAAACATGCCATTGAATAGTTTCAATGTATCTCAAAAGAATTAGGAATTTCACTTCGTTTGTTTCGTCTAATGGTGGAATTGGTGAATCGTCATTCACCTACCTTTATGAAATTTACACTTGGATCTCGGCATCCCATTTCTAAGTTGTGAATCTTCATAGTTGGATCCTAACCTTGATATTATATCTTTGGGTTATTATATTGAGGTATCTCGAAATCTAACTAAAACTTTCCTTCTTTTCAGATGTCTACTCCTGGAAACACTTCTGCTTCATCCTCCTCCAACCAAAACACCTCACGAAATGTGGACGGGGAAAGTTCCCTTGTTGGCACATATTAAAGTCTGGGGTTGTGAAGCTTTCGTAAGACGAGAGACTCACGACAAGCTAGCAGCTAGAAGTGAGAAATGTGTTTTCATTGGTTACCCAAAGCAGTCTTTTGGATATTTGTTCTACAGGCCTAGATAAAACGTGGTCTTTGTAGCACGAAGAGGAGTCTTTCTAGAAAGGGAGCTCATATTCAAAGAGGACAGTGGGAGCACCATTGAACTTGAAGAAATTCAATAGTTAGCCAATGAAGGAACCTTAGATGACACTAGCACTCAACCATAGGAAACAGTTCCTGTTGAACCAGTTGATAACTCATTACCTCTTCGAAAGTCCACTAGGGTGAGTGTGCCACCTGAGTTGTATGGGTTTCATATTACTTCAGATGGTGACACATTCATAAGTGACAGAACATTGGTAAACTTAGATGAACCAGTCACTTATAAGGAAGCAATGGCAGGCCCAGAGGCTTCCAAGTGGAAAGAGGCAATGGACAGCGAGATTAAGTCCATGTATGACAACCAAGTTTGGAATTTGGTTGATAGTGCACCAGGCCGTAAGACAGTTGGGTGCAAATGGATCTTCAAGAAGAAGACAGACATGGATGGGAATGTGCATACATTCAAGGCTCGACTGGTTGCAAAATGTTTCACTCAAACCCCAGGGGTTGACTATGATGAGACCTTTTCGCCAGTAGCTAAGATTAAATCTATTAGGATATTGCTCGCCATAGCTGCCTTTCATGACTATGAAATCTGGCAGATGGATGTCAAGACTGCTTTCCTTAATGGGAAGTTGGCTGAGGATGTTTACATGAATCAGCCAGAGGGTTTTGTTGATGCAAAGTTTCCCAATAGAGTGTGCAAGCTTGAGAAATCCATTTATGGATTGAAA